CTTAGAAAAAAAAGTATGCCTTTGTATGTTGATTTTTTAAATATTTTTTAATAGCTTTAACAACTACTTATGAGGAACGAGAATCTTGCATTAAGTTTTTAAGGTTTTTGACTAAGGCATTAATAAGCAAACCATTTTCCATCRATATTTGAAGAAAAAACTAAAAAAAAGAAAATTTCGAATGGCTATAAATATATCAAAAAGAGACACATGATTAAACAACTAAATAATATATAAAATGGTAATATAATATATATTTGGTGAAAATTTCAAGTATCTAAAGCTAATGTTAAACGTTTTTGAAAAACATTTTGCAATGGTGGTATACTTTTTGGCTTTATATTTTTTGTTAGGTATTAAAAAATTGTTCAGAAKCCAAATGTTTAAATTCTATTTGTATATTATTAAAATTAAGTGATTGAATTCAAAAAAGAAATACTTTAAATCAACCAATTTTGTTTTTATGTTTTAAATTATATTTATTTAATGAATAAAATTGTGGATTAATTACTTATATTATAATATTTATTTAATATTAAACTAATATTATAAAAGTGTGATAACGCCGACAATACCAACAAATATTGATTACGAATAAAAGTTTGAACCAACAAATATTCACCCACTGCCTAAATTTTAGTCTAAATATTTTTAGCTACCTAATTATGATTTTATTTTTATCACATAAAGTATTAAAATTTTAAGYATAAATAGGTAGTTCATGTAAATAAGGTTATTACTACACAAATATAGATGTGGATACAACTGTAAAATATAAAATTAAAAAACAAAACTATTATAGTATTAACGTAAAATATTTTAGGTAGTTACCAAATTTTTAAGTTCTTACCAACGATCTGTAAAATTTCTAGAATATATGATTATTTTGTATAAAAAAGAATAAGATACYTACTCATAGATGTACCTAACATGAAACAATAATGTTAGCCATGGACATTTATTGTAATTTTCTTTATAAAGAATAATTATCTATTGTCATGGAGCTAAAAATAATTTTATTTTCTCTATATTTAATCCTGGAAATTGTGAACTCTCCCTATTTTAATGACTTTAAACCATGAAGACTAGAGATAAGGAAKCCAAACTCTACCACAAAAACCGTCCCGTAAAACATCGCAGACTAATTTCTCCACCAGTCTGCGTGGCGGTCAAATGCGAGGCTGGCTTGGAGTAAAATTAACCCGTATTAGATAGGGACATACTAGGAGAAGTATTGGCAACATAGTTCCTTCTCCGGTCCTCGATACCATAGGAAAAAAAAAAAAGATAGGGACATACTCGACTTTATTACCTTTAAAAAATTATAATTAAAAAACTAAAAATGGTATTTAAATTAAAATTTCACCATCGTATTCAGCGCAAATTTATCTTTAAGATTAAATTACAAAAATAATATTAATGTTCTATATTTACGTAATAAATGTACATACAAATAGTAAAAATGGGTAAAAATGTAACAGTAAGGTATTAGGTACATATTACTATATTAGGTATTTATTACAGTTTGGATACTTTCCTGTTTTTCCATTGAATTCCATTTAACAGATTATATTTTTTCTCTTTAGAATTGCCAGTTGAACAACCAGGGGCATTATAATTTCGACTCATTTTTAAATATTTTTATGTAAAACTTAATTTAATTTCATAAGTAACAATTAACATAACACGTAAAAATATCACTACAAATAAGTGCAACTTTTTTATCAATATTTTCTCAATTTGGTGAATCAATCGATATCGTAAATATGAATCTACTACTATAAAATAATAATATGCACCAGTATGTCTATAAATAATTAAAATACTTAACTTAAAATAAAATGTATAACGTAAATACAGAATATTAGTTTTTTTGTAATTTATTTTTAAAGATAAATTTTCGCTGAATACGATGGTGAAATTTTAATTTAAATACCATTTTTAGTTTTTTAATTGTAATTTTTAAAGGTAATAAAGTCAAGTATATCCCTATCTAATACGGGTTAATTATACTCCAAGCCTGCCTCGGATTTGACCGCCACGCAGACTGGTGGAGAAATTAGTCTGCGATGTTTTATAGAACCAATTTTTGTGCAGGCGGCCAGCAGAGTTTGGCCTTCTTATCTCTAGTCTTCATGCTTTAAACTCTCCCTGGGTTTATAAGATAGTTCAATMAMAGTATAAAGATTAAAAAATATAAAAATAATTAAAAATATTCTTTATACTGTGGTTCAATATTACCCATAGGGCAATGTATATGATACTATTTAAAAAACGTGCTAAAGAAACCATTGAACCAACTAATAAATTAATTTGTTTAATCTGAATTATCACAAATATCTAGGCTCTAAGGTATTATTATTACTAATTTCAAATTTTTATTTAGAAATTAAACATTTTTTTTTTTATTCTCTCCCCGACCTCCTTCCTGTAATATGAGATTTACAGTTCTTAAGTGGTCAGTAAGGGTAGATAATTTTAGGTAGTTTAGGACCAGAGTTAGGTTATGTGAGGAGAAGGTATATAATATTTAGTGAGTAAGAAACACAGCATAAGATCTACATTGACTGTTATCAAGCATGATAGAGCCGATAGAGGTAGATGATATAGTTACCAAATAATATTATAGTTCCACATTTAAGAAACGAGTGAACTTGAGAGGAAAATAGTTTTTGAATATAATTTCATCTTTAATTAAAATTGTTTTTTTTTTTGGACTGATCCTAATATTTTAAAAGTSCCCCAACAAATTTCTGTAATATGTGCTCTAGATTATAGCAATAAAGATAAACAAAAATCAAGATCCAAAGCAGAATAAAATTACTCACCAAAATTATAAGACAATAGGTTTAATATAGATTATTGTGGCTAAACGGGGTTTAAATTCTGAAGAACATCGTTATTCTGATTTTAGATTCTGAGCGGAGYGATGAATGTATTGATTTTACAATGTTGTGTGTGTTTTTTTTTCATATCTGAATACACGATAAGTTGTCAAAATAATGCTTCRATTTTCAACTTCAGTAGCTTTTCGGTTGGAAAGTGAATCAAATTGGTCCATAGGGGTGGTCAAATTTTTAAATTCCCAATAGTTTTCAAAAGCACCGAGGGAAGAAACAAAAAAAAATCTTAGACTGACAAACCGTCTCCGCTCAGAATCGTTTTTCATATACAATAACATTATATCATTGAATACAGCAGAGCGACATCAATTTACTCGCTTTTTTCTTTTCTTTTAAATATTTATATGCCTAAGCTCTTAAGATTTATCACTTCAGCCAGCAAACCGATTAAAATATATCGAACCATCTATATAGTTTCATAGCATTCGATATTATGAAAAGTTTAGAACGTAATAAGACTATATGTCTATATAACAAATAAAAATAGCTTATACTATTAGATAGACCTTTGAGAAACACTACTTTATACATACGATAAAATGCTTTTGAGACGTTGAGGCGTAAATTAGTCAGTTTAATAATATCACCATCGAATTGTTAATGATGAATTGATGACAAAACATTTTTATAACATAATTAATTAATACCAAGTTGTATGAATTATTGTTGATCGAAACTTGGACGAAAGTCGCGTGTTGCTTAATTTTTATTACTGAGTAATAAATATTAGGTATTTTTTGGCTTATTTTAAGAAAATGATAATAACAAAAAAAAAAAAATCAACTTTAATCTAAGCATAAAAAGGTGTATTTGATAATATATGCACTAAAACATGTAGGATAATGTGGTTTAAAAATAACACGAGTTTCAAATTTTTAATTTAATTAATGCATCACCACATGAGAAAAACAGTAGCTAATTACATTCATAATAACAATTAGATTATATTAATTCAAAACAAGTCAATCCATTTTTTAATAAAATAATTATTGAATTGTATTATAAGATATTTTGAAGTTTTTAGATTGTGAATTAAATTTTGTTTAGGGAATTACAATTACAAACCAACCAATACTAATTAATTTAGTTTGTTAAATTAATCAAGAAGGTACGGCATAATAAATAATGTACACTTAATAAAATACACTCGTACTTGTAAATGTTAAAAAAAAAGGCTTAGGATGGCTTTAGATAGTTCCTCCATAAAATTCCCAGTAAATATGCCTTTTTCAAAACTAAGATAACAGATAACACATTAACATCTTAACACATTATACAATAATATACCAATTTTCAGGTATTTATAATTTATATCTATGTATTAAATATTAAATTATATTAAATTCACATAATTAATACTAAATGGCGAGCTATTGAAACAATAACTATTAATTGTTATTAACCAATACCTCTAATTGTTCTTGATTATAGAGCAGAGACGAAAATTATTTTTAKTAATAATTATTAGCCCAATAGTCTTTAAAATGAATCTTTCATAATTTAATTTAATTTCGCGAGCTTGAACAGATATAAATTATAATTTTATGGTTACACTTATCATATTGCATATTTATATTATAATTTTACGGATAAATTATAATTGGTATCAATGCCTAATGCTTATTAAAATTTAAAATACATGATATTGTCATCATCTATTCAGATTATAATTTATGATTTATTTTTAATAAAAATTAAAAAATTGAAATTATGTTATTGATATTATTAAGATGTAAAAAAATGTATTRAACTATTGAAACAATAGGTATCGTTTATCTGACTATAGTTTATTACTTTTTCAGTTCTTACTGTGACTAAATTAATTTTATTTGTTGTCTGTATACCTATGAACATCAAAAGCACAGAATCATAGGTATATATACACTAAAATTATAGTTTTGTTATAATTGTATTATAAATATATTATTATTGAATTGTTGACTGTTTGAAGGACAGGTCTAAATGTCCTAACGTCTAAACAAGACATTGCGTACTATAAAACGTGAATGTTATATAATATACTGCACTAGGAATATAAAATTGTTATTTGATGCATTTACAAAAAAAAAAGGTCAACAAATAATGTATTATTGATTGGTGATTTTTGTAGGTAATATAACACCCTATTATTATAATTTTGAAAAACAACAAGTGATTATTATCAGTGATATTTTGTCGGTGCATATTATACAGCCTCGTATTAGGGTTTATACGATAGTGCAATAAAATATGATTTCGTGCTCTTCAGCACGTGCTCTCACAAGGTCCAAAAAGGTTGGCTAACATATCATTAAGTTATATACAATACTGGACACACCTAAAAACACAATAATAATAATAATTTTTATTTTAAATAATCAAAACACAATGTTTCATCGAAATAAAATTTATATGATATTATAATAACATTTACTTTGTCTATCTATTGTTGATTCCATAAAGTGATCATTGATCATTGTAGTAACACTAGTAACAGACCTTATCTTATTCTCAATACGTAAATAATCATTCTAATTAATAATATTACACTTTTGCATTGGGTTTTTTATTCATATGACTAGGTTATATTATGGTAGTAAGTTTTTAATCTTTTTTAAATTTGAAATCATACCAATTAAAAATAACATTTTTTATCATTACACTTACATATACTAAAAYAAGAATTGCAAGTGAATAAGACAAGTTCCCTTGTTTAATTTTTCATGAAGTTGATTAATGTTTATTGTATGTACGATTAGTTATCAAGTTATGACGTATATTCTGTTATGATAGTTTTTTAGACACTGGTTTTTATTATTCATATGGATTATTCATAATAGCAATTAAACTAGTGACGATCTGCGCTTTGACCTAACCGCCTGCATTTTTAAGACAGCTTTATTTACTATCAGAAATATAGGTAAGATTTTAAAGTTTATTATTATTAAAGGGCTATAATAAATATATGCGTTTTATGAATTTTTAGCGAAAAATGTTCTTTACTTACTAAATACTAATTTTGTGCTCATTATAATTTTTTAAAAAGCATCTATACTATATTATGTTAGGCATATCTAATATCTATTAACGTTTGATATGGACACATAACTCTTGAAAATAAATATTTTTGAATGTATTATCAAATCTAATCACGTTCGTTAAATCGATTTAAATAAATATGAATTATAAAATCAATATAATTTGCAGGAAACAAATCTTAAAACGAAAAGTGATACAGAAACAATATATATCGATATTAAAATTTATATGACTTTAAAATTTAAGTTTATTATTTGGTAAAACCTACTTGGAAATCTGCCATTTTTTTTATCGTAGAGTAAAATAACTATTTTTTTTTTTTAATTTTCATGCTTACCTGTAGAATGTAGTACATAAATATTATTATTTACACTTATCTTTAAATAATTATTCATGATTCAATATTAAGCTTTAGTTATTTTTATCTTTATTTACTAAATTCAGAATACCTAAATTGTTTTTATAGGTACATAACATTTTCATCAAAAGTTTAGACAAATCGTATTATAATTAAAGCTTTAGGTACCTTTATAATTATGAAATAGTTATTTTAAACATATATTAATACCTCTATTTATTATTCTCGAAGCTTGAACTATATATTTATTCATTAAAACATCATACACACACTGAGCGAGTTATGCGCTCGAGTACTCTTCTTGCTTTGCTCACTTTTGCTTGCTATTAATAATAGATGGAAATACTCCATATATACTCAATACAAGTAAGTATTMTGAGCGAAGGTCGATTTGCTCAAAATTAATTAAAATTTGTTACGTGCCTTGTTTCATACATTTTTATTAATGGTTTTTACAGTTTTTTTAATRTCTATATTAATATGTTCTGATATATTATGTTTTGATTATTATTAACTGTAACATATTTTAATAGAAATAAATTTACTCTTAAATTTTATTCCATAAATTAAAATTAGTTGATAAATTTAAATTTTTTTAAATGTTTTAATTTAAATTAATTTAGAAACAGGAAAATATGGTGACATTCAAGAACTATTTACGAGTAGTAAAACAAAAAAACTGGGAAGAAAGATTATATTCAATTATTTTAGCGATGTTTATGCTCATATTTTATTGTCTGAAGTCATATACTCGATTTTCACACGAATCGGGTATGTTCTAAAATGTATAATACAATAAAAGTATATATGCGTACTAAATTAMTAATATGAATATAGAATAAAAATGAAAATTAATTAATTGTTATTTTCAGATATTAAACACACGGGACGTGTCTTATTATCAAGTATCAATAATACAAAAAATGAAAAATCGTTTTTTGAAGAGCTTTTTATTTTTGAGGAACGCACTTTTACCATATTATGTACTTCCGTTGTTGCTTTATACTTATTTTTGTTTTTGGGAGTAGTATGCAATCGTTATTTGGTACCATGCATTCATATAATTTCTCACAGTAAGTAAATACCTATAATCAAAATTTGTATACTATAGGAGTATAGAATATAAAATATCATTAATTATTAAATTTTTTTTCAATAAAAAAGTATGGATACATTTTATTTTAAGTTAAAAAAATTCGTCTTCATAATATAATATTACACATTTCTATAAATAAATTATTGCATGAGAATTAGTCCTACTTCATAATATTATTTATATTTGTTGTTGCTAAATCATTGCAGTAAAAACCGAAATGTTTTTTCAATATTAATTCTGAACAATAATGCAATAAATRAAATCAGTAGTAGTTTGTAGGTACCTACTACCTACTGCTGTTGTTTGATTGYATATAACAAAACATGTAGGTATTAATTAATTTAGACTTTGAATATATAAAACAATTAATAGATCACTCAGTAGGTACCCTATGTTTGTTATATTGCATAACTGATAACAATAGCTTTTTAAACTTATTTTTCAACTTAAACAACGATAGAAGTTAATAGTCACTGAATAACCATGATAATTTATTTATACATTTAAGCAATAATTAAATTTTAAAAATAGATTAAATATTTACTATATTGTAATACTTATTAAGCTATTGTATTTAAAGCTATTATAGTAATCTATTATAGTTAATTCTTTGTATTAAATCACGTGAACGTGTTTATGATATTATATTTACTTAAATAAATAAGAAAAACGTTAGGTACTCATAAGTTCTAACAACATAGTTTTTCTAAACAATACATTTTTTAAGTTGTCTATTTATTTAAATAATTATAATGATTAACTRTTTAAAATTTTGCTKTCTTGTTATAGATACCTTTTATTATAAAATAAAATAAGTTTATGAAAAATAATATGTATTTTTGATAAAAATCATAATATAAGAAATAAGATACTACAAATGTAAAATACTTAAATACCATAGTCTAGTATAGTTATCAATAACAACATATCATAAAAAATTATATCTTGAATCTTCACCTAACGTAAAAATGCATAAATTTTAGAAATATGTTCACAAACATTTACACTTCTGCGAGATTAATTGATTGATCATTCGTTCCCACATTCATCAAACAGAATTAATCAATAATAAAAAATGACATTAACGTTTTTTACAATAGTTAATCAATAATCATTATTTGAAGTTTACAATTTAGACAGTTCAGACAGTATTTTTATTTCATATTAATTAATCTAATGTCAGTTAATAGTTTTATTTATGGTTAGAACTTTAGAAGAACAAACTRTGGGTACGAATAATTAATACTAGTTTTGGCTTTATATTACATAATAGATTGGATTTTAAAGCAAAAAGAACATTTTTTTCCTTCTAAAGAGTAACTTTGCTGTTAGTACCTATGTTACAAACGTATAATATGTACCTCAATATTGAGTAGGTCGCTGTAATAAATGTATGCAATTTAAATTCATTGACAAACCATTGCACATTTGCACAACACGAAAACAATTCTAATTGGAGTTAATATTTTAGCATCTATGTTTAARTATATTTCAAAGGGAGTATATATCTATAAAGAAATTACTATAAGAATCTAGTAAATTACTATAATACACGAATAAGATAGGTTGAAATATTTTTTTTCTAAAAACACCATATATATTTTAATTTGTTTTATATTTATAGGTATCATATTACATAATAATTGTTGTTAATTTATAGATGAATACCAGTGTATCATAATGGTTTAAATAGATTCGTGGCATTAATAGCTTAAAATTGATATAAATATTTCAAGTGTCATTGGCTTTTAGTTTTTTTAACTGATCTTGATTTTTTTTTAAACACTGTTGTAGTTTTGTTGTTACATTTTTTTGGTAAATCAAATATAAAATATATTACAACCATAGGCGTGCGCACGAGGGGGGCAGGGTGGGCAGCTACCCCTCCTGCGACTACTTTTTTTCTCCCAAATATAGTTTTAAAAAAAACATTATAATATAATTTTATATAACAATGAGTCAATGAATAATATATTGTAAATATTGAGTATACGGTGCACGATAATTTTGGGTTGTCAAAGGTTTAACTTTGTTCAAGCCACAAGCGATACCGCGTTGATAATGTGTGTTAATAGATACGCGGCAATAATACTAATAACCAAAATAATATTCAATTATATATTATATATTATACATATAGTATATATAAATATAATGTACTGTATATTATAATACTACTGTGTATAATATATACATTCTTCCCCCCCCCACCCTGTCAGCAAGGTCTGCGCACGTCTATGATTACAACTAAATAAATTTAAGTTAAATCAGATAGGATATAATATAGGTATGAAATTCGTTTAACAATTCTTTGTTATAATTGTTATATAAATAATTACCGTAAAATAGCTATTATTATTGGACTATGATGGTGATCAATAAAATTGCTTCCTAAATTTTTACATCGTCATTATTGTATTGTCATCAATTACCAACCAACACAGTTATATAATAAACACATACGCACATGCATGCACGTCATCTTTACTATAAGATGAGACGATGTAATTTAATTATTACGTAACCATCATATTAATATTTGACTTTTAAATAACTATTTTATTTAAAATTTAATAACCCAAAGGAGATTAATATTATATAAATGTTTTTGTACGAGTGACAAATATATGGAATTTTAAATTAAAAAAATAGGCTTTTATCAACAATGAAAATAATAAGATCTATAGAAAATGTTAGAATTCCGTGTGCTTTATATTTCTTTAATTTTCTTTTATTATCTTTTTCTAAATGTACATATTATTAAAAAAAAATCTATTACCTACTTTTTAAAACAATGTTAGTCTTTAGTAATGTTCAAAGTKAAATAATTACCCTTAATACATTATTTAGATATAATAGAGTTCATTGTTCATATATCTTGTATTATTTTTCAATAATTTTTAAGGGATGAAATTGAGTCAAGATGTTGCTGGAGCGTCTGTAATGGCTGCAGCAGTGGCATGTCCTGAACTATTCGTCAATATACTAGCTACATTCTTTACAGAGGGTGATGTCGGAATTGGCACTGTAGTCGGCACTGGCTTATTTAATATACTATTAGTTCCTGGACTTTGTATACTTATGGCTGATCAAAAGGTATTAGTTTTTTAAAGTATAGTATATACTCTATGGTCCATGAATAACTATAATTTATGAATTTTGATACTTCTATATACGATAAATATTAATATATAGGAACGAATAAGTATAATGCACTATAAGTATGGTAAAATAGATACAAATTAGAATTAACGATAGAACAAGATCATTAGCTAGTGTTAACTGTTAAAAAAATACAATGAAAATGTTTATAGGTCATACACCTGGAAAGCTGGCCCATCACTCGTGATATATCGATGTATCTTTTAACTATATCATTATTAGTTTGGTCATTGGCTGATAACAAGGTGTATGCTTACGAAGCGTTGATATTAATTATAGTTTACATGGTATACCTATTAAGTAAGTAATCTATTTTTCTTATATTCATGGCTGTCAATAATTCCCAACAGTTCTCTCTTACAGCTCATATCTTGAAAAAATATTTAAATATATTTCTCAACAAGAGAACAAAGTTTTCGAAGGGTGCAGTGAAAGTCAGCCGATTCTTCCCCTAAATGGTAAATTGGCATGCGAAGTTTGTATGTGGATGAACAGACAAACAGTAATGTTATGTGAATTAATATAAATATAGATAAATATATATGCATATTAACAATCTTTAGGAGTTGCAGCAAATGGATTTATAGTGCAAGATAATATTATTTTGCCCAAATGGAAGGACAGACTTCGTGAACAACTATTAAATATCAAAGAAATACTAGTATGGCCTATCGTTTTAATCTTAAAAGTGACTGTTCCAAGTTGCAATAGTCAAGATAGAGTTTTTTGGGTACCAATTACCATGTTTATGTGTATATTTTGGATTGGATGTGGATCGTTTATCATTGTAGAATTGATTACAATTATAGGTAAGCATTTTAGAAAGAAATCATTGTAAAGATTAAAAGATATATACTAATATAATATAGTGTTTGGAAGGGACGTGTTCAAAAAACTGGTTCTATTGATTTCGTTCAACTTTCAAGAACCTAATCGAGAACGTAGTTCCTTTTTCGTTTGAAGGAACATTATTGAATTTCGTYCATTTTTTGGCAGAACATAAGTGATTTTATTTGTTCCCTTTTTTGTTTATAATATATTCTTAAATATAGCGAAAATAAATATATATATTTTTTAGAAATATTAAATATTAAAATATGTAATCAATATAATAAGCTATATTATATGCCAATATACGATAATATTGAAAATGTTTATAAAAATGTCGAGACAGCCACATTGGTCTTATCTGTCTTCGATTGTATGAAATAAATAAATTCAAAATTTTAAAAACAAAACAACTACCTAATTAAAAAATTATTACTAAAATTATATTAATACAATTTGAAAAAAAAAATATCAAGGAACAAAAAWTTTTCTTTATTTAGGAACGAGGAAATGAACTAGTTCCTTTCTTTAAGCTAGGAATGATAAACGATTTAGTTTTTTTTTTTTTTAACAAAATGAATGTGAATATGAACCAATTATTTTTTTAAAGGAGCTTTCCAAGCACTGTAAATATATTATTATATACTATTAAATTATTAAAAGAGTTATTTATAGGTATAATGTATATTAGAACTTCTCTTRAAATGTTATTTATTTATTAAAATATTAACCTAAATGCAATAGGTAGGTAGGTACTTAGATGATACTAATTTTTAATACAAACAATTTAAATAGTAAGAATAAAAGAAGAAATATATTTGTAGGCAGTTGAAAATATTAGAGTCTATATTACATGGACATAAACAAGCGGCGATTAGACAATACACAACTTTTCTGCATGTTTTTAGAATCAAAAACCACACGATTTTGGTTTGAAGTACTATACATCACAATATTGTGTTATTTCGAAATTCATTTGTTCTAAAAATAAAATTTAATTCAATCACCAGAATTCATTTTACCTCCTTTTCAGCGCCATGATTACATAAATAACACAAAAATTAAAAATTCTAAAAAAAATATATTATTAATTAATTAAATAAGGGTTTTCCGTTATATTTTTACAAAGTTCTTCCAATTAATTGAACAAATTTATTTGTAGTTTAAATCTATTCTGTGGTTTAAATAACTAATTTTCTACTTTTAAAAACATATTGAGTTACTGCCTAGCAATATTTAAGGTTTTTAAAATATCAATAACTGAGAATTATGATTTTTTCAACTCTTTTACAATCCTTTCTACWATTACAAATTTAATTATCATAGAAACAAATTAATCTTGAAAGGGTCTGAATCTACTATTATCGGTACAATATRTTTTATCATAATATATTGTATAATATATACATTTGATTTGAAAGTAACGAAAGCCATGGCGATTAAAATGAAGATAATTAGTTTTTTTTTCAGAAATGTCACATCATTATAACTATAATTATGCATTAAATTTAATAATTAATTTGAATTAGGTTTGAATAGGTGCTCGGCAACATTATAGAGTTACACTAGTAAAAAATTACAACAATCAACAAACAATAATTATATATATAACAACAACAATAATTTTATAAATAATATTAACTATACATAAATTATTAGTATAATGAATATTGGAATCGTTTTTAGGAAATGAATTCTCAATTCCTGATTCAGTTATGGGAATTACACTATTAGCAATTGGTATGAGTGTGCCCGAAATGGTGTCTAGTATAGCAGTTGCAAGACAAGGTTTAATAAATTTAAAACTATAAAATAAAAATAGTAAAAAATAAATGTTTTATTTTAATCCTAGGACAAGGTACTATGGCTTTATGTACCGCACTGAGTTCATCAACATTTGATGTTTTAATTTGTTTGGGTGTTCCGTGGTTTATAAAAGCTATGTGGTTCCATAAAGAAAACTCAAGTGCATCCATAAATATTCACTCGAAAAGTCTCGATGACAGTGCGATAGCTGTAATGTTAAGTACAATTGGTTTTATGCTACTTATGTGTGCCAAATCATTTGTATTAACTAAAAGGGTATGTATAGCTTTTATTTGTACTTATGATTTATATTAAAATAACTTCAAGTACGTTAAAAAGTGAAACCCGATGCTTGTATTTTGCGGGTCAGGCATGGAATTCCTCTTATTTAAAAAAATATTTATTCGTACCTTTTCGAACTATATCACAACAATACATCAATATAATATCAAATATTTAAATATTCTGGTACGCACTTTTTTTTTACTCTTTTAAAAGTCCATYTAATTTTTTTTTCAAATCAAGCACTGGTAGAACAGCATTGCGTTTAGATGTCACACCCTAACAGTCAGAACCAATAGTTGAAGCAATACGGTGCAAGGAAAACGTAACTTAATAAAAATTTAATAGATATTCTAAATGTTTCTTAGAAATTGTAGTATCAAATTATCCAATCGAAGCATAGACTAAAAAAATGTTAACTAGGTATTATAGTTATATGTATAATTAAAATATTATATGATTAATTAAAGAACATTTTTTTTATTACCTGTTTAAATAATCTAAATATGTAATTAGTATGTCTTATCCAAAAATAAATAATCTTTTAAAGGRTAAATACAATTTCATTTAAATAACCATGTTGATAAAAAAAATTATAGCAAAAATACTATTGAATAATTGTATTTTTTAAACTCATTGTCTGGTGAAATGGACTCATCTTGATTCTTGGCTCAAATTGATTTCTGGGACGTTTTACTCGCCAGATTAGATGAACTTTTCGCTTTATCACCAGATATTAATCGCGTAACTAACTAAACAAATCTTTTTTATCTTGTCTTATACCTACGCCTTATTTGAGGAAAATCACTTTTAAATTAATTAAAGGGTTAGTAGTATAGGTCGTAGACCGTAGTTACATAATTACTACTGTTGCTAATTAAATTGTATCTAGATAGTATATAGACACAACAACTTTAACTTATAGGAATATCATTTAAAACATTCATGGAATTTTCTTTTGGAATGATTCAAATTGTATTGGAATTTATATTATAATATTATCTTAATATTTAATAAATAAATACTTGTCTGATGATTTAATTATAGTTTTTTTCATTTATAGTCAGGTGGATTTATTGTTTTCATATGGTTATTCATTTGTTCAGCCATGGTGTACAATGAGTATGCAACAAAATGAGAACAATTCGTGTAGCTTAATTGCTCAATCATTTCGGGTGAGTTGATGAACGAAGATTTGTAAATGGCTAATGCCATCGTTGAAATGATCACGGAATATCGATTTAGRTTCCGAAGACTGAAATATCAGGATCTTTGATTATACGTCAAAAGAATAGACACGTCTTATCTTTTAAAATCACTTAAGACAATATTAATGTTTGGTATAGATAGGTACCTAGCATAAGATTGTTTACGTTATTAAATAATATATATATATAATAATGTGCTGTGATTAGASATATTTTGTAAATTATTTAAAATTGGAAATAAGTTTTAATTTAACTCATAATAATTRAATACAAGAGGTCACCTATGTATTAAATATTTAAGTTAAATTATACYTAACATTTTAACCTCTCTCTTAAGGATATCCATGTATAGTTAATTATAGATTTAAAATTAAGTAATTAGACCAGATTGTATTAACCATCAATCCATCATTGAATATGCGACATTTACAATACATTTTTTTGTATATTTTAAATTAATTTTATACAATATAAAAATTAATGATACTATCAATTGACCTTCACTCTAATGAAAACACCTATATGAATGTTAATCTTAATATCTGTATAATGCGTTCTATTTTTCCTCTTCCCACCCAATTATGTCTTTAATATTTGATAATCCATTGGATACTCATAGAATAATTTGTAAATGTTAGTCATAAGAAATAAGAATAACTAATGTCATTAATCATTATCAAATATTATTTATTAATAGATAATAAACTATAATGTTTATTTAGTTACACCTATATTTTATTATTCTATTATTTTATTATTATAAGTTTTCAAGTTTGTTAGTTAATAGAAACCATAATATGTGTTTTTTATATTTCTATGTTACCTACTTATTTATATTCAATTACAATAAATTATTTAAAATGAACRATTATATTATTAGACGAGCAAACATTCTAACTATTTATTTAATACCTACTGAATTGTAGCCTGTAGGACTTATAACATATTTTTAATAATTTTCTTTTATAATACCTCATTGTTTTCAAATTGTTATAGTCATAGGTAGAATATCTTACCACTTTAGAATTTGTATGTATGTGGTCTTTAATGACGAAATTACGGCCATTGCAGGATAAACTTTTTTTAACTTCACAGATAAGAAACCATTTAATTTTATTACATAATACAATATAAAATGGCAGCATTTGGTTTTCACATTTTTTTTATAATAATGAACCATCAAATAAGTCTAAAATGATTATAGGCTACACTTACTCATCGACAAGATATTTTTTTTTATCAAGATTTAAAACCGTTATCGAAATTCGAAATTTTTCATTTTTAATTGAAAAAATTTTGATACCGATTACCGGTTTTAAACCATAAGTTCTATCGTTAGCAATAATCTATTACCATAGACATAATATATGNGGTACCATAATAAACACAACGTTTATGCTTTGCTTATACTAGGTCATTGTTACTAAAGATAATACGTTATATTCAATACCGTTTTTTAGAAATATCATGGTTTGTACTTTGTCTTTTTTAATATAAAATGTATTCCAAAACACGGTCAATGGGAGGGGCTGAAGCCCCCTAAGCCCCCCCTGGGTACGCCACTGTTTATACCTATTACTGATGTCTGATACTATATTAAACATTACTTACCGATTATGCGATAACCACTTCAAAAATATGCCGGTAACCGTTAACTGATTGAATATCGGTTTACTAAAAAAAAAGATATTATACCAATATTAGTATAATTACAGAATGGGTTTAAGAGGTTATTAATTATTAAACTGTTATAGTAGCTRCGAGCTTATCATTATTATATGTTTYTAAAATAAATTAAACATTTTATAATTATAATTCATAAGTAAAGGTAGTCAGTACTCGGTATTTATAAATATCGGTAATCGGTTAAAACATATTATGTTAACTGAAAAATCTTCACGGTAACCGATAACCGATAACCGGGAGTAAAAATAGATTAAAATAACGATAAACGATTTCCAAAAATTCTAGGAAATGACCGATTTCAAGCTTTAGTTTTTAGGGTCTTATAACTCTCTTGGTCTCGTAAAAAGAGCTATTTGAGTATTTAAATTTTACTTTACTCGTAAATTTTTGAGMAATTGTTAYTAAAATCATTATTAATACTTATAGAATTTTCAATTAAAATTAAATATCTCAGAATGCATATCCAATTTAGTGTTACTTCTAACTTAAAATGTTTATTAATTGTAACATATAAATAATCAATATAGATAATTTAATGTATTTTCAAATTTACTTACGTATAGGTATGGTATTGTAATGACGACTACCAGTTACCACTTGGTACTTATAAATTAAATTTGGACAAAAAAATGGTACCTATATACTTAATGATAAAATTTGCCCCAGTCATTATAAAACCAGGAAATTTGTAGTGCTAAACATTTCCTACATTTAATTAAAATATAAATATTTGTATAGAATAAGAGAGTGTAATAAATTGCATTTGAAACGTTTTATTTAGTGGTATATTAATTTATTATGGTCTAAATAAGGTTAATTAATTTAGATAGTCATTTTCGTCTCATATATGAGATATCATATTATCAGACTTAATATATTAAGTCTGATAATATGATATGTGATATCCTCAATAAAATAAGTAAGTAAATAAGTTATATCAAATATTAGAGGAACCTGATTAAAACAAAAAGGAGTGATGATCAATAGATCTCGAATCTAGTCGATACATTCAGGTGAACAAAATTTTAAATTCTCAGTAATTTTCATGAGCGCCTGGAAAAGCAGAAATAAAAATAAAGATAAAACGAAAATATTTCGACAAAATCGATTTTGGTTTTTRGTTACACTGTAACACTAAAAAAAAATTTGCATTGATTAGACATATTTGGTTCGTCTTGGTCTATTATACAAAATTAAACCATAGACGTATTCGCATTCAACACAGAGTAAATTTATTTACCATGGGAAATTGATTTTTTATAATTTTTTTCAACACTATATAGTTAGTTATCAGTATTATCACTATAGATGCAATGAATCTAAGAAACCAATCAAATCAAGTTTTAATAAATTAGTTAGACTTATTATTGACACAGATAATATATTTATATATATTATATTATATT